TGTATCCAAGTTCATCCCGAGTAATAGTACCATGAGGATAATCCCCAAAGCCACTAGACAACTTTATGATGTCAATGAAGCAAGATGAGCTATTCAATGAAACTCGTATTGTAAAGAAGAAGAAAGAGACTGATTCAGAAAGGTGGGTCGAGGGTCGAGCCTCGACTGTACATGTAAGTTTTTTACTTATCATTAAGTATTTTGATTTACTTTTATATAAATTTTGAAATATTAATTCAATATAATTTTTCTTATAGGTTCGCTTCAGAGCTGATGTGGGGGAATTCATACGAAGTCAGCCACCTAACGAGTCGGCCGAGGCAATCCAACTTTCAAACGAAGATGCTAAAAGAACACTCCTTGAGTACTTTATATACTTTGAATTAGACAATAGAACTAGTTTTCGAATGAGCTTGTAATAAACGTTAACTTAATTTTGTTAGCTTAATGTTTTAGTTCTATTGTTCTTTATATTTTGTTGCATTTTAGTGTTGTTGTTGTTGTTGTTGTTGCTGGCATAAAATGCCTGTTTAGGATATTTGGTAAGCTGGCAGGTGATGTAGCAGCCAAAACAGGCAGTTTCTGCCAAAAATATACCAAAAAAGCGACCAACTTTGCTGTCCAGTTGGTCGCTATTCACTTAAAAAAAAAATTCTGGTAATTTTGCGACCAAGGTTGGTCGCTTATAGTTAAAAAAAAAATTAATTCTTTCCATTGGCGACCAATATTGGTCGCCCAATAAATAAAAAATTATAACATTTATTAATATAGCGACCAAAGTTGGTCGCTTAATATGATTAAAAATAAATAAAAATGAAACGTTATTTACATCTGGAGACCAACTTTGGTCGCCAAATATATAATATTGAAATATTTGAGCGACCAAAGTTGGTCGCTATATGCTTTACCCGGAAAATTTGATCCTTTTACCTGGGAGACCAACGTTGGTGGCTATTTAGCGACCAACTTTGGTCCCTAAGGTAAAGGGACCAGCTTAATATCGACCAGGCGTGGTTGGTCGCTTTTTGGCCAATAAGCGACCAACGTTGGTCGCTTTTGCTGGTTGCTTTTTTCCGGAATTCTAGTAGTGATAATTAATATAAACTTTATGTATATTGCTAGAAAAAGTTTACAATAAATATGACCGGCTATCTGTGTAAAAACCTCAATTTTTAATTGCATACAATATCGGAAGATCGAATGCATCTATCTGTAGGAGAGGAATCTCTTTCTTATTTTATTCATCTCTTGGGTGTGCCTTTATAACTAGTTGAAGGTAAGTGAGTTCTCTTTAATAGTTTAAACTTTTAGATGAGATAGTCACGCACTTCAATATGATATTAGATAAAGCAGAAGTCATTGATTCGAGTCTGCCAACTGTTATCAAAAAATATTTATGTGCTTGACTCGTGAAAAAAAAAAATCAAGCCCACACGTAACGAGGCGTCTTATGTACATAATATATAGGAGTATATAAAATTTCTCTAATAGTTTAAGCTTATTAAGCTTTTAGATGAGGTCCCACACTTCAACATGTATAACTTAAAGTGAGAAGTGATTTCTATGCTATATACTCCAGTATTATATAACTAACTCGAACTCTGACAGTTAACTAACTAAAATGATATTGTACCTACTATAAAGGTTAATACTTTTTTCAACTAATAATTGAGGGGACTACTTAACTCTGACTTGGTTTAATCGAATATTTTTTGTTTTGGTTACTTTCAAATGACACGTTACGGGTGATGAACGCCTCCAAACTAAACCTACCTGAAAAGGAAATCTACCAATTAGAAATAGCGAGCTCGTCGCGGTTTGTAGCAACCAATTGTGTACATTTACATTTCATTAAGAAGATAATAGGATGGAATTTTCTAAGTGCAAGTCATATTTAGATAATTATGAACAATATTTCTCTTTCAGAAAACAGATACCAGTCACTTTTCATCAGCAGCTAATTAATATAAGTACAATTATTTTACCATCTCTCACTTTTATAATATGAACTTCAAAAAGAAATAAAGCAATTAATTGTTGATCGAACGGTAATCGGAGAATTGAGAGTTGATTGGGAGTGGGGTTTGCGTCCATTACTTATTTAAATTAGTCTTATGGGGATATTGGCTTGCTGGTTAATTATATTGTTTAAGAATCAGTCGATTATCAATGGAGTTGAGATTCTAAAACCAGAATATTTCAAATTTGACTCTCTATGTCTACAAGAAGAGATTTTGCTTTTTTAAAACATAAATAAATACCTAAGTTAAGTTTGACTTTTCTCTTTACTTTTTTTTTTCTTTATTAATATCTCGAATTATTAATTTCAACTTTCAAAATGTTGAACTTTAAAGATAAAAATGTTAAGAGCTAAAAAGGCTCACAACTTCAAATACTTATAAATGCATGAATTAATATTTTCAAGCTTTTATGATAAGCTAATGTTTCTTGCGGTTTTAGACTTCGGACCTATTCTGAATAATATTAAATACTAGCCACTAGGGAAATACAATTTAATTTTATTGCAACGTTCAACATCTATCATTGCAATTCTCAACTACTCTACTGGTCGATTGCTAGCTTTAACCTATTCTAATCATAATTGCGCAGCTAAGTTTTATTCTATGCAACTGAAATGCTTAAAACCCTAATGACTTTGTGAGAGGCTAGACAAAGTGTGTGAGAGATTTTGGGGGGGGGGGGGTGGGGGGTGTCGTCGTAAGGTTTAAAGGTTTTTTTAAGTTTTAATTTACTACCCTAACCCCTTTTTTTTACCCTTTTTTTTTCGTTTTTTTAAAGTTTTTAAATTTTAGGGTTTAGGGTAAATTAAAAATTAAAGTCGACGTAGGGTCGGGGACGGTACTTCCTTCCTTTTAAACGGTTTTAAAAGGTTAGGGTTACGGGTTACGTAAGGAACGACCCCAACCCTTAGGTTCGGTTTCGTTTACCGAAAACCTTAAAGTTTAGTTAAATTAAATTAATTTTAATTTTAAGTAAGTAAATTAAACCTTAAACCGTAAAAAGTTAAACTT